TCATTTTAAAGATATTAAAGGAGGGTTGGCAAGGGTTGAACACCCGTCTCGCTGTGCTCCGGTGAGGTCCTTCGATTATCCGTCTAAAATACGTGTTCACCTGGTGAAACGTTACAAATGTGCGTGGGAGTAACTCTATAATGAGTCTGGACGACTATTTTTCTAAAATGCCTAACGTCAGGTCTAAGAAAAAGACAGCTCCGGTTGTGCAAGCTAGCGACATTGTGGGTCCTATGGCGGCTGAGCCTGAAGAAGCTAACGCCAGCGACACAGAAATCTCCGCTGACGCTGAGGAAACTGGGAGTGATATCGACCCGAACATCCTTGCGGCTCTGAGTAAGATAACTGACAGCATTACAGCTCTGTTGGATGTTAAAGTTGATACTGTGCTGGCCGCAATCTGTGAACAGACGTCTCGGATCCAGGCTCTGGCGACACGGGTGGGAGACGCCGAGATACGGATTTCAGGCGTGGAAGACACGGCAGGTGTATTGCAGGCGAAAGTGGCTCGACTCGAAAAACAAGTAACTGACATGGCAGACCACATGGATGATTTAGAGAACCGCAGCCGCAGATGTAACCTTCGCCTGGTCGGGCTTCCCGAGGGCACGGAGGGAAATGATGTTGTCGCCTTCGTGAAGTCATGGCTCCCCTCCTATCTCGAGCTCACAACTAAAAATGGGAAGATCAAACTAGACCGCGCTCACCGCTCTCTAGCACCGAGGCCAGGCCCCAGCCAGCGCGCCAGACCCATCATTATGAAGCTTCACAACTTTGCTGATAAACAACGTGTGATGGCTGCAGCTCGGTGCCTGGCTACGCAGCCGAACCAACCAACAGGTCGGATCAAAGTCTCCTTCTTTAATGATTATTCAGCGGCGGTAGCCAAGAAACGCAAGGCTTTCGACGAGGTAAAAAGCTGCCTGAGGAAGAAGAATGTGGATTGTGCGCTTCTCTACCCCGCCACACTGAGGCTGTTTGCCAACGGCAAGGAGAAGAGATTTAACACACCGGAGGCAGCTGTGTCCTACGCGGACTCGCTGCCCTGAATCCCCGTAACCACCGGAGTACTCCTTTTCTTCACACTATGCCTTATGAACCGGTGTAAGTACTTGCCGAATCTAGGCGTATGTGACTCTCTTTTTTCATCCTCGCTGCTTATAAGCGACCAGGTGAAATCTTCCACCCCATCGGGCACCGGACAGATTGTGTTTTCGTCTATGGGTAGGCGTGAGTTACGCGCATGCAATGCCCTTCAGCTTTCCCGACGGGCAGGAGGAGATTGGCTTTTCCCTACATGTTTAGTAGGGCTGTTGCCAAATCACTGTTCTTTGAATGTTCCGTCACACAGCTCTTTCTTGCCTTTTTTTTTCTTTTTTCTTTTTTGCTGTTGTTAGGTATTTTAGTACCATGG